AAAAAAAAAAAAAAAAAAAAGAGCAACAAGCGGGGCCCCAGCGCGCAGCCGATTCGGAGCGCGCGAAGCGAGGCCTCGGACTCGGCCCAGGGCTCCCTGGGCCTGGGACTCGCGGAGCGCACGCTGCGTCTGGCCGCGAAGCTCGGGCTCCGGGATGCTTTGGCCTTGTCGGGGCCCCAAGTCCAAGGGGAGCCCGAGTCGGGGCCCTTTGGGGGTTTCTTGGGGTTGGCGGGGTTTAGGCTTCCAAGTGGCTGGGATTCAAGTTTTGAGCCCCAATAGTGCCTAACTACTCGAGAGTTCGGGTTGAGGGGCATTTGTTGGCGTCTTGAGCTTGGGTGCGCTTAACTCGCGCAGACATCGGCTCAACTCGAGCTCGCCAGCCGCCAGCCGTTGAAGGACAAGTTGGTCTTGTTAGATATTTAGCTCGTAGCCCACAGTTTCAGTACCTTCCAAAAAAAGTACACCTGTCACTGGGGCCATCGGCCTCGCCTGAGTGCAGCCGTGGACGTTCGTCCTCTTGGCCAGAGGCTTTGCGCGAGCTGCCAAACAGAGCTTGTCACCATCGCGCTGAAGGGCATAGCAGCCTCACCAAGAGGGACCGCATGGTAATGGTGGTTCGCTAGGACGTGATGAAAGAAGCGTATACAGGAAAAGGAGGGCAATGCTCAATTTCATGCAACCTGACATCCAATCCGAAAGCCGATACCTGTGCTGAAAATGTAGTATCGGTTGTTGTGAATTGATACCGATAATACCAAAGCGATACCCTCCAATACGTTCGCATTCGCTCCTGTAAGTATTGCCGCCTGCTCACTGCTGGGATGATGAAGATCCACCACACTTGGGAGAAGTTCGCCAGGAATGTGTGTGCGTTTGGCAAGATGAGGACATGCAGGCGTCCTGATAATTCTAGGCCTCCTGCATGGTGGACCTAAGCGCTCAGACTTTCTACCCTGAGCCCGTTCCAGCCTGAGCCTGTCGCAAAAGCGAGCGCTTGCCAATGGCGACACGCGGCGACCTGATCAAGAGTTTGCAAGCGGGACAGGCTGGAACTCTGAATGGACACGGGGCCCGGCCCTGGAGCTGGCGAGCCAAAGGGAGCCGGACAAGGTTGAGAAGCTGCAGAACCCTCCATTCAGAGCGAACACCAAGCAGCATGGAGAAGCAGTCTCGAAGCGGGGATGCAGATTGAGCGGTTGGGCGCGGACGTGATGTCCATCGGGAGGTTGGTCGGTTTCGTTGACAGGGACAAGTTGCACAAGGCTTTCAAGGACTCCCAGCTGCTGATGCGCGACAGAGTGGTGTGGCAAGCTATGGTCGTTGCCGCACGATTCTGGACACGCAAGTCATCATGGACTACCTGGCCGCCATCGTCAACGGCGGCAACATACCGTTGACTCAACTTCGGACCTCAAGGTGCGCGACTAGCGGGATTCGATCCTATTGATTACAGGAGGACAAATCTCAATTTCGTGTGGACCCGGTGCTAGATCCCAAAACCGACACGCGTGTTTCATGTAGAATAGGTGCGGAGAATCGATGCGTACTACCAAGAGCGATGCACCTCTGACATGTCAGCACCCGGTTTTGTAAGCGCTGCCCTCGCTCACGTGCAGTCTGATGCCGTTGCTCAGACGCTGGCGAACTACTACAGCTGGGACAAGTTCGCCAGAAATGTGTGTGGCAATGTTGAAGATGACGACATGCAAGTCGTTCTCATGAACCTAGGCCTAGGCCGTCTGGCGAATCTCAGCGAGCAGAATGTCTACCCGAGCTTGATTGAAGTGCCCTTCTGCCCGACAATATCGAGCATTGTCTTGCGATGATGGTGTTAGCTCGAATCCCTCCTCCAGGCAGAGATCCCGTGCACCTGCTGCGTATGGCGTTGCAGTCTTTGGACAAGCTGCACACGACACATGCGCACTTGCAGAAGGCAGCTCTCGCAGAGTTAACATGCATGCTCAAAAATCATTCGGCACTGCACCCTGACGAAGATGGCTCAACTTCAGTGCCTCCCCGCTGGACCACTTTTCAGCCTGTTGTCTGCACTGTACCCTGCGTTCAAAGGCCCACTTACTATTCTGTGGGCCGTGTGCAAAAGAGCGGCGCTGGAATTGGAGTATAGGAGTCCTTCAAGCCATGTCTTACTCGCAGCTCTCAGATGTTGTGCTGATCTTGCCGCAGTCTGACACCCCAAACTGCGGGCTTAGACCGCCCTCGTGATGTCGGGATGCTGAGGCGTGAGCGCCTGTATGGAAACTGGCGACGGCGCAGTTCGGGATGTTTGTCTCAGGAGCTTGGCCTTGCAACCTTTTGGTCGTTCTTGCTTAAGTTCTCGAAAGACATGACAAAGCATCGTCGACGGTGGTTTGCAGACAAACTGGATCGTCCGATGGATCGCCCTCAATCGGCAACTTCCATGTTGCTCGTTCTTTCTCAGCAGCTGGTCATTCCTTCAACTCGTTTTCTTTGTTTCTCCAGGACTTGGTTCGGAGCTTCCAGGAGCACTCTCTCGACAGCCTCTGGTCGCGTGGTCTGAGGTTTACAGTTCGATGTTTTCGATGTTTGGCGGTTTCAAGATGCTTAATCCTGGGATAGAAACCATAGGTGTCAAAAGAGCGTGATGCAAAGCCACTTGCCTCGAAGGTTCCGTTGCCGCGAGCCCGGTGCAAACCAAGACGGCAAAGCAGTCTATGGTGGTTTTCTACCTTTGCTCCTCCAAGTCGGCAGCCTAGACCGGCAAGCCTTGACGGGGCGTCGAGCTGCGCCTCCTGCTCCTCCTACTCGCCTTGCTACAGCTACTGAAGCCCCTACCTGCCGCTACGGCAAGCGGCTCCGGCTGCTGCTGCTGCCATTACAGTGACGACTGTTGCTCCCACGACGACGACGACGACGACGGCCACCACCACCACTACGACCACGACAGCGACCCGCAACCGCGACCGCTACTCCCACTCCCACAACAACTAATTACTACGATTACGGCTGCTGCTGCTGCTTGCTACTAGTGTTTCTAATTACTACTGCTACTACTACTACTACTACCACTACTACTACTACTACTACTACTACTACTACTACTACTACTACTAGTACTACTACTACTACTACTACTACTACTACTACTAATGCGACGACGACGACCACGACTGCTCGTGGTAGTAGTTGTCGTTGCAGTTGCAGTAGTCGTCGTCGTAGTACCAGTAGGACAAGTAGGACCAGTAATAGCAGCAGTCGTAATAAGCATGGAGACAAAGAGTACTGCCTGTGTTTACTTTCAAGGGATCTTCAGTCTAAGATGTCTAAGCTTCCGTCAGTTGTCTTCAACAGCTTTTCCTGCGCGCTCTTGCCTTAAGACGGGGTGAGGGTTGCATGGGCGCTGGCCGGCACCTCAGTCCGTGCTGAAAAAAGGCCAATCCGTCGTGCAACTTGAGGCCTCCAGCTATTTTGCGGCCATGCTATCGGGGAAGTGGGCCGAGACTGCGCATGACCAAGTGAAGGCCAGGTGCTTAATGCAGGAACCTTTAAAAGAGGAAACCTAGATTCTGCTTCAGGGTCTTGGGTCTAGAAGTTCTGAAGAACAAGAAGCAGGGGGCACCCGCCTCCTCTGGCGGAGCTTCTTGTTTCACCTCCTCCAAAACTCCTCCAAAAAGCCCGGTTTCTTTTTTGTTTTCTCCGCACCTCTGCGGCCCGAGCCCGAGCGCCTCCTCGAAGGTTTGTTGGCCGGCCGAGGAGTTCGAGCGGCTCTTGGAGTTTTTGCATGGGGGCCGAGACTTCATTCGGGATGCCCAAGACCTGGAAAAGGTGGGGTCTAGGGCCTAGGGCCTCTACCTGTAGTCTCCATTGTAGTTCCTTTTGGGGGTTACCTTTTAGGATCCTTAACATAAAATTGGTTAAACCAAAAAGGGGAACTACAATGGAGACTATAGGTAGGGAAAGGGGGGCTTGCAGAGGATCAGGTCTCAGGGTTCCCACAAAGTCGGCGGGGAGCGGCTTGGAGAAGAGTGCAGGCTTTGCGGTGCGCCGACTTCTTTGGCCTTCCTGTGCTGGTTGTTCACGCGAATCAGTGGATTGCAGACCACCTTGACTCGAAGAATGCTTCCCAGCTCTGGAACTTCGTGGATGCCAAGCTGGAATTCTAGGGCCCTTTACATTGGGAACGCTACCACGCTGTGTGTGTGAGCGGCGCAGCAGCTCAGGACGGCGAACCTCGACTGCGCCTCAAACAAGTCCAGGCAGTTGTTGTCACCTCAGCGCCTGAAGGCCTAAAGCCAGCACACAGCCTGGGAGGACTCTGGTTTACATGCAGACTTCTTCGTGGATGCAGAGGATGCTTGCGACGCCCCAAACTTCTTTAGGTTCGCTTGCTTCGCGTGACGTGGATCTGAGCGTCGACGCCCTATTTCCTGAAGGCTTTGACTTCCATGTTCGGGAGTTTCTGGCCTTGGCTTGGCCGGATGCGGATTCAGAGGCAGATGCCGCATGCCTAGACTACTGCTGCCGTATTTTTCGTACCGAGCATCGCAGCAGAAACGACCACACTAAGTGCAGCTACTCAGGAAGACTGCTGGGTCCCGTTGCATGATTTATCTCCTTCGCTGATGTGACTTGGCAAAGGGGATGTGCCTCGTGCCTGCAAACCGTCAGTGCTGGACGGTTCTGCCTGTGGAAACCTGGAGTGTTTTCATGCAGGCAGCGACTGCTGTGCAGCGGATCTTTGGATGTTCCCGGACAGAAAAAGACCAGGAAAGCTTCGTGTGCTTAGTACGCCGCCAGGATGTTGGTGTGCAGCGGAGGTCAGTACCGAGCGATTGAAGGCCATTGTCCTGCGCTATGCGCGTGCCAAGTGGGACAAGTCATTGGCCAAGGCGGGCCCATAGAAAAAAAGAAATATATATATATATATACACATACATACCTCTCTCTCTCTCTGTCATATCATTGTATGAGAGACAAGGCGTGTCTGTGTTGGATATTCTTAGTTTGGAGATGTGTGGTCTGTGACTTTAGCCCGCCAGAAGGTGCATGCCAAGCAGATGATGCCGCCCAACGTGCTTTTCAACAGGCCCTTCAGTTCTGCAAGGCATAGACATGTCCCGTCGACCTGTAAAGTGAGTTCTGCTGTGAGGGACATCCGTGATCAGCTGTTGGGCGCCGCGACGATGTCCATCCGTGCCGTCCTGCCCCTTGGCCTTATGGGGGGATGCTGTCCAGCGACGTCATCAAAACTCAGAGAGTTCTGCAACTCCTTGTGTAAACCACGATGGCAATCTGACAAACCGTGGCGAAGTAAAGAAGCACAAGTGTGCCACACTCGCGATCCAGGTCCAGGCAAATTCACAGTAGCATGTTCGGCTCGTGCAGTAGCTTTTGGGGAGGGCAGACACCGATGAGCAAGGGATTCCCCCAAAGTCGAAACCCTGAAACCCTGAATTGCGAGAGTCCGAAATCCTGCAGAAACGAGAGTGAGCACTGAAACAATAATTAAACGGTATCTTTGACTTGGCTTTAACATGCTTCCAGGATTCCGGTCGCACTTTGCTGTTCTTCGGGGAAGAACCCCAATAACCGTGGTGCAGTGAGGTGCCGAAACTTTAGCCACTTTAGCCTGCGGGCGACTGCAAAAGACTCGGGAGCAAAAGGGAGCAAATGCAGTTTGCTCATTCCCAAGGTAGGCATCGTCAGCAGCCACTTCTGAGCTTCGGAAGAAATCTCGATCTGTACCTCCAGTGTCGACCGTTTTCCCTCTGCGAGTGCATCTCTGCAGATGTCGGATGTGTACAGCAGAACCCACACTTGAGGACCTTGAGGTTTGTACAGCTCATGGCCGAGCCAAGGCACCATTCGTGACCGCGCGAAAGCGCCGCCTATGCGATTCGTGAGCAAATGAGTATTCATGTAGGGGCAGCAGCAGGGTCCCTTGTGAAAAAAATGTAGGTGGCAAGATCCGTCAAGAAACGCAGATACTGCCAGGAAAAGCTCCGCGAGGAAGCGGTCAGCATCCAGGCCCTTGCATAGAGGGTGTGAGAGGGTGCTTTGTTTGACTCAGATTCAGGGCTCTTGGAGAGCAAGGCAAGACTTGTCGACAGCCTCGCAATTCCAAGAGAGTAGCATGTTGTCCTGCTTCTACGATCATGCGGCCACATTAAAGTTCATTAAACGTATGCAAACTGTAGCACACGGTCTAATATTTGTAGTGCGGCAGTGTCGCATGAGTGTTTCTACCTTGGTTGCCCCCATATGCCTGTGGACATGACAGCAGGACACCGACAATACGGCATGCTACAGGCTGAAGGAAGTGCCAATTTCCCACGTATCAACTTACTGGAGCATGCAACAAGTGCCGTTTTTGCTTGTTCTTGTTCCTTTTCTTCCGCCCTCTCTCCGAAGGACAGGACACAACACACATGGAAAGCACAGCCGCTCGCTCCATTGCCGTGCCCGCATCAAAGGCGAAAGTCTTCGTCCTCCGAGAGGCCTGCCAAAAGCAGGCGCGCTGAAGTTGCAGTGCGCACCGCCAGCATTTTGGATGGCTCCCAGCCATTAAGTACTTCCTGCTCCCACGCTGTAGGGGTTCTCATGTGGCTAATGAGTTGGGACTTTGACTAAGCCGATGCGCCGTCCCGCTTCTCCCTGTCAACCTGTCTCGGTGGTGTTTTCTCAAGGCCCAGCACTGTAGAAGGGATTGCTTGTGCTTGACTTGGCCAAGATGAAAAAGGGTGGTGGCCTGGCTGCATGGGTGTAGACGGGAGTTGTCCCTCAAATCTCTGTCTTGCATTCATGTCATGCCATGCAAAGGTATGATGGACTGGTACTACAACGACACAGGTTATGGCGACGGCTATGGTAACGGAGGATACGCGCGGGACTATGGTAACGGCCTCGGCTTTTGCAGTGCACTCCTACGATCCAACCAGCGGGGCGGGTGTCAAGCAACCCGATGTCTTCTCAAAAGTGGCTCAAGTTGGGGGTTTGGTTGCACACAGTCTTCACTGTACCGGTCCACGTGCCAAGCGTTTCTTGCCATAGCCTCGGAAGTGGAACGGCGAGAAGACCTACTTGTCAGAGTAGGTTCATGCACTTGATGCTTCACTACCTGTGCGGCAAGTATGACAAGGCCAAAACAGCAGCACAAAGCACGGGCAACGCGAATCCGGCGAGCAGGTGCCCCTGCAAGGGCGCAATGTCATGGCAAGCAGGAGGGAAACAATCTTCGTTTCCATTGCGAGCTACCGCGATACACAGAGACTCGGTGGCAGGTAGCGGTTTGGATGGAAAGACAGTCGGTTTGAGTTCCTGCCCAGCCTGTGGGCCTGTTCCCAAGGTGTCAGTATACGATCCAGGTCACTTGGCAGCCTGCAGAGAGCTTTGAGAAAGAGTTGAGGATGACAGACCCGATTTCAGGATCTTTTCCAGAAAGCCAAGTATCCTGACCGCGTGGTTGCTGGGGTTTGCTTCCAGGCCCGTCCGACCTCACATTGGCTCGTCTTGAGGGAGCAGTGCACCGAGCCAGGTGGCGCCATCAGACTCAGACAGCTTTCTGCTCGACTTGGGCAGCTGGGCACGCATCTATCACTGCCTTGTGTGGGAGCGAACACCTGTCAGTTGAGCAATCAGGAACCTGGTCTGCCCGCATCCGGACCTACTTCCTTCACCACACAGAAGCTCGAGGGCCCTGCTATGCTCGGGCACTGATCCAGCAAGAGCTCTTCCGAAACGAGGACTTCTATTTCCAGATTGACAGCCACATGCGCCCTTTGGCAGCAGTCAACATTATGCCAGTGTAGATCCCCAAACAGACCACGACCGCCACTATACCGGGAGACAACAAGGACACACGGCCAAGCTGCTTTCCGCAAATACTGGTGCGACTTAGGAGCACGGCCAGAATGCTTCCTGCAAGTGCTTGCGGCAGCACGACCACAGTTCTTCCATGTCCTTTCCTCAAGTACTGGTAGTTCACGACTTGCTTTGTCGTTATTGCTCGTTCGATAGGAGTACTGCGCACTCTTGGAGATCGAGTATCGCAGCCAAGGTTTTGTGCAGGATTGGGACGTGCTCTGCTTGGAGCAACTGGCATGCTGCAAGAGCCCGAAGCCGATCCTCACGACCTATGCCGGCAGCTCCCGGGATTTGCGAACCTGCTTACGTAATGCGTGCATAGCTCTATGTTACAAATAATTTACATCTTCAACCTTCGTAGCTGCGACAGGATGTGGTTCCTCCCGTCTTTTCATCTGACTCTCCCTCTTGCTGTCCCTCTCTCCCTCTCTCTCTCTCTCCCTCCTTCTCGCTGTTTCTTTCTCCTTGTTGAGCTCTCCTTTTCACTTTTCACTCTCTTATTGTTCTTCTATTTGTTTCATCGGCTCTCGTTGTCTGGATCTCTTTCGCTCCATCTCTCGCTCTCTCGCTCTGCCGCTGTCTTTCTTTCTATCCTTATGTGTTCCGGCTCCAAATGGTGTAGGCCATTATCTAGAAGTTGCTGTAGCATGTGTGGGTACCTTAGCCCGCGGGGGTTTCCCTTGTGCTGCATTGAGCGTGCCTGGCAGACCCATGCACGAAACGCATCCGAAGAAACAAGACTTTCTGTCTGCCACCACGGCGGATCAAGCCTAAAACATGGGAGATCTCCCGACTCCAGATTCCAGAGCCCATAAGCCGGTAAGATCTTGTCGTCTTTCCCAGGTTACACGCTTCCAAAACACTATGTGCCCGGGACGCCCGACTGCGCCGAGCTGGCCACCTGCCGAGCCGTGCCCATCCTTTGTGCTGATACCTTCGGGGATGCCCAGAAGGATGACTCTTGTCTTTTGCTCAAACCATGTGTAAATTGAGGTACCGGTACTGTTCCTTCGATTGTTAGCGGATGCCGGGGTCTGGGAGGTGGGAGCAACCAGCCGAGGATCCTTTCTTGCGAATCAAGACGCGGCAATGTCGCACAGACTTCGGAAAGAAGCCCCCGCCGTCGCTTTTCTGGACGGTTCTGACCTGAGCTGCTTACCTCCACGGGGTCACGGGAGCTGAGGCGAGTTGAATTTGTGGTGGTTTGTGTGACTTTGTTTCGCCCCTGAAAGGCTCGCTTTGCTTTCTCTCGTGGAGATGTGGTGAAAGACGTTCCCTATGATCCTCACCTCGAGTATGTGCTCCACAGCCGAAGAAGCATGTAGCATCACGTAGCAATGTAGCGTGCCCACGGCGTTTATGGCAAGCTGCCCCTTTGGCTTGCTGATGAGGTTCTTCGGGGAGGAAATTGGAATGTCTGCAAGACTTTGGACAGCTGGTTGGGATTTCTTCCACCCAACACAAGAGAGACTCGACTCAATGTATGTGCTCATCAGACGATGCGCCTGACTGTCCCAACTTTGGCCTTGCCTTGAGCTCACTTGAGGCTTGCGTACCATCTTGGCAGCCGGGCACACCGCTACTGGTTCCGAGAAGTCCAAACTACGCCTGAGCAGATTGCAAGGGAAACTCGCGCGAAGCACCGTGTCCCGTCCAGGTGTTTGGCTGCCTAACCCGTTGTGGTACGACAAAGATTTAAAGTCACTTATAATCTCTATGGAAACTTGGAGCCCAAACCGTGTAACCCCGACTGGCACGACATCCTCGACCTTCCTAAAATGGGTCAGGTCTCTGTGGCTTGCTCGGGACTTTCTGGAAGGAGACGCTGCACGCGCCGCCCGAGAGGCCCTATGACCTGGGTACCAAGCGCTCGCTTCTGGAGTATCAAGGACCCCCGGGCGACTTCTCGAGAACATCAGGAGGATGTGGGTTCAGAGCTAGGGCAGCTAGGGTGTCTTCGGGGTGTGAAGATCCATGTTTCTGCATGATCCTACATAGTTTTATTGTGTCTTATGTGTTTGCAGTGGCGAGCTGTGTTGAGGCATCCTTCTCTTGGAGTCAGAACAGGTCTCATCCTGTCTCGTTGATGACTCCAGCACGCTTGCAGCCGCTATCATGTACGTTTCCATGGGAGCCTTGTGCTCTTGTTTTCACATATACAAGCTGCACCTTCTTGTGGACCGTGATACTCTCTTGTCACCCAACAAAGCTAATGATCACACATCTTGATGCAGTTACCTCTTGCTGCAGGGATTCCACTCGCTGCTTCTTCTTCTCATTGTTTAGAAGATACACGAATCTCGGCGCGTCGTGTCTCGCAGGCTTTGCAGGCGTGGACTTCGCTGCTCAGCGTGTGCTGGACCATGGCCATCTGGGAGGACAGCCTGCAGATGCCTTTGCTCCTCTTTGGGCAGAGGCCGAGCGAGAGCCTTGGCAGCGACTTCGCTGATAAACAGCGAAATCACGAGCTGGTCCGATTGCCGAGGACCAGATAATGATCACCAACCAGCTGAAGGACGTAGAGTCCTGGGCCGGCAAAGGGAGCAAAGGAGCAACAAGTGCCGAGGCTCGGGGATTGAGCCTCCAGTGGGGATGGCAGCCGGATGTACCTTGCTCGATTACAGGCGGCGGCTGCAATGACAGCAAAGGCACCGCAAGCCTCTTCGCAGGCTGGAGAAGTAGTCTTTCTGATTACCTGAGCCCCTCTCACGCCAAACTTCAGCGCAAGACTTATGACTCCTGACAGCCCCTGATCAAGCGAGCGCTAAGAGGCCTTTTGTGGAGCTGGGAAGCTGACTTGTTGAGATCCAGAGTGAGGCTTGCGAGCAGGCCAAGGATTTGGCAAGGCTTCGGATCCATTCGCTGCGTGCACAGGGGGAAGGCGGGGCAATGCTGTGACGCATGATTCCAATACTACGCCATTTCTGCATAACTTTCCTTTCCTCATCCGACTCCAAATCGGATCTAAAAAAAAAGGGCTTCGGGTCTAGGATCCCGTCTAAGAAGCCTGTGCTGAAAAGGGCCTCAGACTCAGCCGCAGGTCCGACAAGGAACCTGGAGCTCGCCAGAGCCTTTGCCGAGCTGGGCCAGCTGGAGGAGAGTTTCGCTGCTGCACAGAAGTCATCAAAGCACAGGAGCAACGCTACTAAGAGCATATTAGGATCTATAAACTGACATCCTGGCATCTAGGAATATAAGCAGATGAGTCATAGGTACTTATAGGTCTTAGGTAAGACCGTCATCTGGCGTCCGAGTGGCGAGAGCGCCAAGCCGATCAGGCCTCCAGCCAATGCGGGTTAGAATTTGTAATAAAGCAGAGTACAGATTATAATACAATATTGAAAAAGGTTGATGACAATACGATATTGTAATGATATACGTAATATAACTTATATAACCTATATATAACTTTGTGTATGAATCATGGTATTCTGTCGCGCCCAAGAAAAGTCAGGCTCTGGCAATGGCCGCGCAGCAGCTGCGGCCTTGGAGCAGGGCCTTGGACACCTAAGCACGGCGAAGGAGGTGGGCCGTTGATCCAACAGAGCAGGGTTTCGGGTATTTTAGGGTTGCAAGGGTTTAGAGTACAGTTCGAAGGGAGAGTGAGAAAGACAGAGGAAGATACTGTAGCCATTTGGGCTCAAGCTTT